CGACTGAAATTCCGGTCGACCGACTGAAATTCCGGTCGACCGGAAAACACTTGAAAAATTCTTAGAAAACAGACTACCGTCGGTCGACCGTATCGGTCGACCGAAAACTGATATGGGTAAAATGACAGGTTTTGGGCAGTTTTGAAAATTCGTTAAAAATATCAATTCATATCCAAAAATAGTGAAACTTTGGGGAAAGTTTATAAATGATGAAATGAACATGTTTGAAAAGGAATTTTTGGAAAAACAAATTTCGTTTGTGAAAACTACCTGTTTTTGAAAAATGCTTAGAAAACCTGTATTTTTATGAAAGTGAAAGTTGATATAGGACTTGTAAATATTCATATATATATTGTGCATATATTATATGTATATAATAAAGTATGAGAGAGCTGTAAACAAGAGATAAAGATATTTTAACAGCGTTTAATGAAAAATCATCTATATGATAGAAAACGTCAAAAATCGTGTTAAGTGTATATATATTGAGCTTAGATATCATCATACAATATATATAAGAAAACTAAACAAATACCCAGGTAATTTCACGCAGATGAACTTGAATCTTTAACGCTTTAATGACGCTTGTTGAAATACCTGAAAAGAGAACAAAGAAACACAAAACACTAGAAAACTTATTAGTAATAAATTGTTTGTTAAATCATCATCAAAACTATAGGGTCAACAACTCATACTGGAGGATAACTTGAAATTAACAGGAAGTGTGGTAGAAATTGACTTATAATCTTACATGTTAAAGTGTCATAAGATTTTCTTCAAATAGTTCTTCTGAGAAAGCCAAATCTTCCTATTAATTCTGTCTCGGTAAATTTGCATCCCTAGAATCTTGTTTGCAGATCCTAAATCCTTCATTTCAAATTCCCTAGCCAACTGAGCCTTTAATTCTTTGATACGATCTTTGTTGGGGCCTGCAACCAACATGTCGTCAACATACAACAATAAGATAACAAACTTATTTTCACCAAACCTCTTGAAATATGCACAAGGGTCTGAATTAAGTCTGTTGTATCCAAGGCTCATGATGAATGAATCAAATCTCTTGTACCAACACCTCGGCGCCTGCTTTAGACCGTACAGAGATTTGTTCAATCTGCAAACCAAGTTCTCTTTTCCTTTTTCTTCAAAACCTTCTGGTTGGAGCATGTAAATTTCTTCTTCAAGATCTCCATGAAGAAATGTTGTATTCACATCTAGCTGCTCTAGATGTAAGTCAAATATAGCGCTCATAGCCAGGACTATTTGGACTATTGTTAGTCGAACTACAGGAGAAAATATTTCATTAAAATTAATATCTTCTTTCTGAGCATATCCTTTTACCACTAATCTAGCACGATATCGCTCCACCTGATCATCGCTGTTTCGCTTGATCTTATAGACCCATTTGTTTCCAATGGTCTTTCTTCCTTGTGGCAGTGACACAAATTCCCAAGTATTGTTCTTATGGAGAGCTTCAATTTCTTCCTGCATTGCTGCCATCCACAAAGATGCATCTGTACCATTTATAGCTTCATGAAAAGTTGATGGCTCTCCATCTTCTGTTAGAAGACAGTATGCAACATTACTCTCCGTAATATACTCTGAGTGCCAAGTCGGTGGTCTTCTCTCACGAGTTGACCTTCGAACTTCTGGAGCCTCGGACTCGACCGGTTCTTGTACATCATGCTCCGGTGTTGCTTTAGAAGAATTCGGATTATCTTCTACTTGAACAGCTACAGTCTCTGAGTCCTTCCTCGAACTTCTTTCTTTCTCTTCACTTTGTAGTTGGTTCTCTACAAAGATAACATCTCTGCTGATGATAACCTTGCGGGCAGTGGGATCCCACAGGCGATACTCCTTTACTCCATCAGCATACCCCAAGAATATGCATTTTCTGGATTTTGAATCCAGCTTTGTAATTTCTTGGGCATTGTACATTACGTACACTGGACATCCAAATATATGGAGGTTGGAATAATCAGCTGGCTTGCCAGTCCACATCTCCATTGGCGTCTTCAATTGTATTGCAGTTAATGGAGATCGATTCACCACATAACAAGCGGTTTTTACTGCTTCCGCCTAAAAAACTGTTTCCAGATTTGTAGTTACCAACATAGCTCTTGTTCTTTCCAACAGAGTTCTGTTCATCTACTCCGCCACTCCATTTTGTTGTGGAGTATAAGCCGTACTGAATTGTCTTTTGATGCCTTCTTGCTTGCAGAATGCTAGGAATTCACCATCTGTGTATTCTCCTCCATTATCTGACCTCAAGCACTTGATCTTCTTCTCAGATTCAAGCTCGATTCGCGCTTTGTAGGCTTTAAAGACTGAGAACACATCCGCCTTCTTCTTGATAGGATACACCCAACATCTAATGAAGTAATCATCAATAAAGGACACAAAGTACTTTGCTCCTCCTAAGGATGTAACTGGTGCTTGCCATACATCAGAATGAACCAGTTCCAAAATAGTCTTGCTTCTAGAACTCGATGTGTTGAACTTTAGCCGATGCTGCTTACTTGTAACACAATGCTCGCAGAATGGAAGAGCTACCGAATTAAGTCCAGAAAGCAGCTTCTGATCGGAGAGAACATTCAAGCCTCGTTCTGACATGTGGCCTAGTTTGCGATGCCACATTATGGTTTGTTCTTCTCCACGGCTGGTTGATGCCACACATGAATCAGCTTCCTGCATGGTTTCTCCCTTGAGCATATATAGATTTGCAGCTATCTTTTTTCCTTTTATCACCACAAGCGCCCCTCTAACAATCTTCATGATTCCATTTTCGATATGAGTTTTGCATCCGAACTCATCTAACTGTCCCAAAGACAATAGATTCTTCTTCAAGCCCTTCACATGTCGCACATCTTGAATGGTGCGTATTGTACCATCAAACATTTTGATTTTGATAGTGCCAATACCAGAAATCTCCAAGGCATGATCATTCCCCATGAATACAGATCCTCCTGAGATAGGTTCATATTTGTGAAACCATTCTCTCCGAGAGGTCATGTGCTAAGAGGCTGCTGAATCTAGAAGCCAGACATCAGCAAACCTCTTTCTGCCTTCATCAATAGTGGTTGCTCCACTGAATAGAATTTCACCATCGTCTGATGTGCTGACAACGCATCCTTGAGATGTTGATGGCTCTGAAAACTTTTTCTCTCCACTCTTATTATTGTGCCAACACTCTGATTTGACGTGCCCTCTTTTGCCACAGTTGTAGCATTTGACATTCTTCTTACTTCTTGATTTGGATCTACCATGGGTATGACTCCCACTGGAGCCACGTTCCGTTGATCTTCCTCTCGTCACCGATAAGGCCTCCGCTTGTTGCGAACTTGCATGCCTGTCTTCCTTGTTCTTGTGCCGATTTTCTTCCTCCAGAACAGTGGCTGCAACATCGTCGAAGACTAGATTGTCCGTAAGGACGTTGTTTGTCAGGTTGATGATGAGTTGATCATACGAGTCAGGTAGACTCTGAAGTAGAAGTTCTGCACGTTCATTCGCACCAACTGTATACCCCAACGTTGTGAGTTGGGAGAACAGTGTGTTTAGGGTGTTGATGTGGTCGGTCATCGATGTAGATTCCGCCATCCTCAGAGTGTAAAGTCTCATTTTTAAGAATATTTTATTGTGCATGGATTTCACCTCATATAGCTTTGTTAGAGTATCCCAGATCTCCTTTGCTGTCTTCTTCTCCTCTATGCTTGATAGCACCCCGTCTGCTAATGCCAGATGGAGATTTGCAATAGCATTTTCGTCCATCTCGTTCCACTTTTTATCATCTGTGATGTCGTCCGACCTTACACCAATGGCCACTAGACAATTATCTTTTCTCAAGATAGCCTTTATCTTCAACTTCCACAGAGAAAAATTACTCCCTTCAAATTTCTCGATCTTGAACTTCGTCGCCATTGCTTCTACCACGAACAGTAACTCTTACTATTTCACGTAAATAGTACTGTATTTATGAACAGTAACCGTATCAGTGAATAGTACCGTATTTGTGAATAGTACCGTATTTGTGAACAGTACCGTACTCATAAATAGTACCCGTCACCTCTAAAGGGTAAATGATAACCTAACTTATTTTCTGATGTGGAGGATCCACCTTTGGTGGCAGTCACAAAGCATACGATAAGTAGATATATACAAGTACCCTAAGTTGGCTCTGATACCACTTGTTGGGACAAACCCGGGGCCCAATAGAGCAGGGTCGCAGCAATAGTAGAGCAAAAGTAGAGATAAAATGTTGGACACACAGGTTTACGTGGTTCGGCACTTGATTGCCTACGTCCACGGGCAAGGATAGAAGAATTCACTATGAGGAGAAAACTCTGGAGTTACAATCTCTCTTTCTAAGGAGATACTCTCTCTATTTTTTTTTTCTCTTACACTCTTCTATATAAGAAGTTTCTGGGATGAGATTTCCTTAAGGATTTGGAGCCTATTTATAGGATTTTGAAAAACACTATGCATAATAAAATAATAATAAATTACTATGCTATGGGGCCCGTCCTTTTGCTTTCTTTTCCTCTTTTCAACATTTGTGGCTGTGCACTTTCGGTGCTGTGGCTGTTGCTTCTTTGGAATATTAGGCGCCTGTCACTTTAAACGTGGTTTAAAGAAAAACCATTGCCACTGAAGTTGGTTTATTACGTGGGCCACAAATAAAGTCTAACATTTAGCAACTAAGCATGATGAAATACTTTGCGAATTTTCCCGTGAAGGGCACTAGAACTCCCCTCGCTCCTCGCAGAAGGCAGCTTTTGGTTCAGATTTGGCTAGGAAATTGGGAATCTGTCTGCACCAAGGAAACAGAGTGTGTTGATAAAGAGCTAGCAAACGAATTCTGATATGTATAACACATAACTGAAATTACTACACAACCACGGCTCATTAGATATCAGTTCCGCATTCCCTATATACCAGGGAAAGAACAGTAACCATCACAGCAATGCAATGTTCAATTATGATCTTAAAAAAAAAAAATCTCTGTATAACACACCGCAACAATCTGTAATATTGCCTTCTATTTCCAATAAATGATACCAAAGTCACCTCTCACTATGAATAGAGTCGATACAATCCGTAGTTATTAAATGGAACAATTGGGGTAGAAGTATAAAAAAGATAATAATAGGGGAATCCCATGATAAGGCACACTTCGATAAAAAGAAAAGAAAATAAAAAAAAAGAAAAAAAAAAGACCAACAAACTTGAGATGACCGACTATAAATGGCAACTTGCAGATCCATGCCTCAATATGTAGTGAATGGCTACTGCAAAATTGAAAGAATCTGTCTGTCTAAAGAATTTATCGGTAGTTACGGTATGTAGGAGTGTACATGCAGCTCTCAGCAAACTCCACCAGGTTGCTTGGACGAGGGAGATGGCTGGCCAAGCCTAGAAAATAACAACATATAGTGAGTTGAAACACAAGAACAAAAAAGTATCAAATCATTAACTGTTCAGTTAGCTGGAGTGCGACTAACCAAGATCGTAAACTTTGGCAGCAACTTTAGCAGCAATATGGGCGGATATCTTTCTGATGTTTGTGAAGGGTGGATAGATCAGTCCCTTCTCATAGTTCTCCTGTGTCACCTGTGATGCCAAAGCTTCCGCTGTTCCAGCAAATGGAGAAAATTTGCGGTTAACGACTGATGCATCCATTTAGGGAATTTTATATCGCAGGTTATTATGCACAAGAAAAATTCCGCAAGTATAACCAATTTGTGTATTAATCTACTTACAGGCTGCGAGAAGCATGTCTTCGTGTACACGGATAGCTCCAGACATTACCAGACCAAGACCAAATCCTGGGAAAATATAAGCATTGTTTGCCTAACAGGAACGAAAGCAAGCAAATAAATTTAAATATCAGTACTTATCAACACGCAACCACCCTGAATTGAGAACCATATACAGGTCAAGCTAACACAAAACCTGTCCAGAAATGTATGTCTTGCCATTATATTCAACAGGAGGAAATGGACTTCCACTAGCATATATTGCACGCCCCTGCAGAAACAAAATAAAAGACTTACCAAGATATCTTGGCATTTTGGTAGAGAGAGGATATTATTATCTAGTAACAGTGGCCTTTTACCTCACTCCAGGTGTAGGCCTGTTCAGCAGTACATTCAGATTGTGACGTTGGGTTTGAGAGGGCAAGAATTATGGGTTTCTGCATGTCATACAAAGACATCATTTCATTTGGTTTGTTTTTATGACACCAAATTGAATGGCGATCTGCAGTCAAGAGATTTAGAACAACGTAAGGATAACAAACCTCATTGAAGGAGGCCATGGCCTCCACTACTTCCTGAGTGAACGTTTGTCCCACTCCAGATGATCCAATCAGCACAGTTGGCTTAAGTGTCTGGGAGAGATCAAAGAGAATATTAAAAAAAAAAAAATCAGCCAACTTTTTTTCCCCGTCAACCAGGCATACAGCACCAAACAACAAATCATGAGAATATTAGCAAGTGTACGGACTTGGAATAAAAATAAATGTAGAAAGCTAACTTTGTTGTTCAGTCACTACAGAATATTATAAGAAAATTGGATGATCTTGCAATTTGGCTGGCGAGCATTACTTGCTCTAAAGATAAAAGCTATCCCGAGTCTTGATTACTTTTTCTTCTACACTACATAATCCAGAAGGAAGAGCAGATCCTTGATTGCAGAAACTTAAAGTGCATGATTAATAAGGCTGGGTAAAGTTTTCCTATGCCCCAGCAAACCTTGGTTTTATGGTATTCATAGTTCTCTCAGAGGAATTCTGCGCCCACTCGAGGGGTTGGAAGGCTGGGCTTTTCTTATAGAATTTTTTACTATATAATTTTTTCTGACCCTTGATGTCAACTTCCAATGGGGAAAAAAATGCTTGGATGATAATAAAGCGAAAGAAAATATTATAAGGAAGTCCCCTGTTCATGGACAAAAGGTCCAAATCCCATTGGCTGTCTGCAGTAATAATATGAGGAACCATGCTTCCGTACAAGTAGGAACATTATGCACCTTCTAATCATCGTAGAAGCATGCCAAATCAGTTGTTGAACTAATGACTTCACAGAAATAACTTGGAACATGACAAAAAGAAGAAAAAAGAAAAAGGTTTTTGCTATTTGGAAATAAACATAAGAAAAGAGAATGCCACATCTTTAGATGAAACAGGTTCGCACCTTTACAGCATCAATAAGTTCTTTGACAGGTTCATGCTCATGAGCCCAAGGTTTTTTGAATTGTTGAAGGGACTCCAGGCGTGAACTAACAATCAATCCCTACAAAAGAATTGAACTTTAAGCTGAAATGAACATAACAAATTCCTGTTTGAGACCCTCTACATGTGTGGGTGCATGACAGAGCTAAACATTCCATGTCGTGCATTTGACATCAATTCATACCTTTGAATCAACAAGCCATATTTTCTTGCGACACTCTTCAATTGGAGACTTCGTCTGCAGAAATTATATTAAAAAAACATTGGAATAAAGTGAAACATTCAGGTGTAGTCTTAGTATTTCACAAGAAGTTGCAGGTAGGAAAAATTTCCATTTGAGCTGTTAAAAAATGTTGAGATTATATACCTGCTTTGACATCTCAAGAGCTATGAGTTCTGCAATACCAGTACCAGCCTGCGAGAGCCAAAGAAATATGTGTTGAAAATGACTTCACCAGAGATGGTGACACAAATTTATTTCTGAATGAAAGACTACAAGCTATATAACAAGTTTCCACTTACGCGAAGATTAAATTCAAAAAATTTAAAACTGAGGATGAGCAAAGCTATATCAAAAGTTGAGGTCTGCAACTCAGTGGTATGAGACCTCGAACTGCGATAGGCGCTCTATGTTTAGAAGATCCTCAGGCCATTCTTTCGAGACATATTCATGACTTGTTTAAGTATGGTACTTCCCAGACACATCACTCATCTACCTCTAGAAAGAGGCAAATAATCATATGACACTGAGCTGTTCTTGAAGCTGGGATTGTTGTCCTTGAAGTTTATCAATTAACTATAGGTTTCAGGATAGACCCTACAAATGAATATGAACTTTTGCCAACTTAAAGTACAGTGGCAACATTGGTTGTTAACAAAAGCAGATACAAATTGCCTTCTTACTAGTTATTTAAGGCAACCATAGTAGCATCAGAAGTGCAGCGGCAGAGCAGATGAACTAACATCAGAAGTGCACTGGCAGAGCAGACATACTAAAAATCAAGCACCATTCCCCATTTTATACAGTTGCTTCTTCATATATTGTACACATAATATTAAAAAATTGATAGTAATGCATATACAGCAAGAAGCCAAGAATGGCGTTGGCAGATAGCCAGCCTGGGGTAAAGTAACTAGCTTGTTAGCATGTAAGCATAACAAGTGGCAGAAGTCGTCCATTAAACTTAAAAAATTAAATGCATACAGATCGAGTAAGCAGTAAGCATGGCAAGCCATTATGTTTCAAATCATATATAGTCTGTTGAGGCTCTATCCAAGGAAATGGAACAGGTAATAACAGGATAAAATTACATTGGTTTCTGATTGATTGTCAGCAAATAGTCGGTTCAGGCAATAGTAGAGGTGATAAAGAAATGGAAAAATATATAAGATAAATAGAGAAGGGTCGACCTCGCCAGCTCCAAGGAACAAAAATTTGTGGTCTCCCAAAGTTCCGCCAACCAACTTCAATGACGCAACAAGTCCGGCAAGGACTACAGAAGCTGTTCCCTGCATTTCTCGAAGGAAACAGACTAGTTCAGCACCATCTTGTCCTTTATTTGTTTTAGCAAATTATGAATTTGACAAGAAATGAACAGAAAACATTTGCTTTTCACCTGAATATCATCATTGAACACTAGATGGGTCTTGCTGTACTTTTCAAGCAATACAAAAGCATTATGGTTTGCAAAGTCTTCGAACTGTGACACGAAGAAACAAAGAAGACAGATTAGGCATAATTAATAACACAGCGCCGTATTTTGTAAACATCTCTCCATATACCAAGTATGAGAACAAACCTGTATCAAGACTTTCTCCCCATAGTTCTGCTTGACAGCAGACATAAATTCATCTAGAAGTTCTGCATATTCCTAATAGAACAAACGTAATTGCAACTATTCAGCATTGAACCAGCTACTGACTTATAGGAAATTACATATGAACTAAAGTATTTGAAAGTATTTGGTACCTCGCCAGTAGCACGCCTTTGCCTTAAGCCAATATAGAACTCATCATCCAACAACTTTTTATTGTTTGTTCCCACATCAATAGTGATGGGTAAGCACTGCAATGCATTCAACAATGGTTAAAATGACAAAAAGGCATTGTACATAATTCATTTAACACAAATATAAATAAAAAATAATTAATCTTAACAAAAGACTATGTCAAATAAAATTAATGGAGGACAATGGAAATGAAATGCTTACTGCAGATGGGCGGAGCCCTCCAAGAGCAGTATACAGAGAAAGCTTGCCTACAGGGATTCCCATACCCTTCATGGTTGAAAATAATTGCTCAGAGACAAATCAATAGGAAATCCAATAACCGATTAAATTATTATTTTATGGAAGAGACAAAAATTACCTGGCAGCCGAGATCTCCAAGACCCAAAATACGCTCACCATCAGTAACAACGATAACTTGAATCTTCCTCTCAGGCCAGTTCTTCAACACTTCGAGGATTTTTCCCCTGTACGAGACACCATTCAGTGAACACAACTATAATTTATAAATATACATGTAGACAAACATAAAACATTTACTCAAAGTAGAAATCATACTTCTCTTTCAAACTGATATAAACACCCTGTGGTCGGCTAAAAATGCTCCCATACTTCTGGCAAGCCTCACCAACTGTTGGTGTGTAAACAACAGGAAGCAACTCTTCAACATTATCAATTAAAAGCTTGTAAAACAGCCTCTCATTCCTCTCCTGGAAGACATAACGTTGATTGAAGTAAAGTGAAGTCATGCAAAGTCTAAAATTGAAGAAATGAACCATAACATAAAATACCTGAAGATCCATCATTGCCATGTAACGTTGCAAAGGGACTTGATATTGGCGAAGAGTGTTCATCAGTTTCTTTTCCTGTGAAAACAAACCGCATAATGATGTTACTTTAGCAGGAAAACAACTATAATTGTTTCCTAGAAGAGAAGAATACAAACCTGAAGTTCCTGAGAAAGAACTACTGGAGGCAAGAGGCCTCTGATGTAGTGAGCATCCCTCTCTTTCTCAGTAAATGCTAGCCCTTTGTTGTGGCGTGGATCTCTCAACAAAGAGTGACCACTGATGAAAAAGAGAAGCCGTGTTAACTAACATGCTCAATAAAAATATACATAATGCAGTGTAAACTAATTGACGGTAAGTTCTTGCAGTTTGCAAATGCCACGATATTTTAGAAATTGCAACATGAATTATCACGAGAAATTTTAATAAATGAAATCCAAATATTGAGAACTAAATGAAGAAGAACTAGCTTAGGATAGTTGATTAGAAAACAAGAAGTTAAATAAGGCTCGAAATGGGAAATTTTCATTTAGAAGAAGTGGTAAGTTAGAAAGGAAAATATAAAAAGGCAAGGTAATATAAACACTTCAATAAATCTAGAGTTAGAATAATTTCAAGTTAAAATATAGCGCTATAGCTCAGAGACAATGTAGTTTTTCCATCAAGATATTTATTAGATACTATGTGTCTCGTGCGCCGACACATGTTTGCCACTATCCTTTTATTCGGTAGAACCTCTTTAATGAAAGAGGTGGCCGAAAATCAAAATTTTGATCTTTAAAATTAGTTTTGCCTCAATATTTGTTGATCTGAATCGTAGAATATTAATCAAGATGTGAATTCTTATGGCAGGCTAAAATTTGTAGATAGGGCATAACTTGTAAAGTTGGTTGCACTAGCCCACCAAATTGTACTACTGCCAGAAGTTAATTCTTCACAGGGAAAAAAGCACAGTAAGCAAACTCTTTTCTACAAATGCTATTATTTGTTTTCAGTATTTGCTAACTAGAATCGTGCTATTGTTAATCAAGCTATGAATTCTCTTAAACTTTATTGCATACCGCAAAGTTTAGTACTGTCAAAATCAACCATTCATGTGAAAAAGCCTGGTAAAAAGTCTCCATTTACAAATAAAACAACGAAAGAGCAAAAAACAGTACCAGGTGTATGGGGAGCCAAAACACTTCAGGTGTTTAGAGCCTCTTTTCTATAAAATGTTATTATTTGTTTTCAGTATTTGCTGACAGAATTATGTTCAGCTAATCAAGCCATGAATTCTTACAGTCAGTTAAACTTTAGAACATTAGTTCATGATTTGTAAAAGTATAAATGTATAATAGTCACCAAACTATTAACTGCAGTCAAAAGTAATCCTTCATGAGAATAAGCCTAGTAAAAAGCCAAAGTAACTAAAAACGTGGTTTCGCGTTTTCCACGATCCCCAACTACTCAACAACCAAAAGTATGCGCATTATTTAAAATAGAATTCAAGAATGGACCCCATCTTTCATGTAAAAACAAATTATGTTCCAGTTTAAAGGAGAGATCCAGCTACCCAGCTTCAGGATTCCTTAGATTACAAAGGAATTGCAAAAAAGAACTCGAGAAAAAACAAAATAACTTCTAAGAACAAATAAAATAACTTGTCAGCTTCATGAAAGAAGTTCGCAGATCTAAGAAATGATTAAACAAAACAAGCAGTCAATTTCTGTGAAATCGATTTCAACCGGCTCTAGCAACTACTCTTTTCGTATCGACCCAACTCAAAAGAATTCAAATAGCTACGGTATTCACAAAAAAGAATCATGCTAATCAAGATCCTATATTCGAGAAAATGAAAATGCATGACGAAGTGTGGAATATAAAATTAGAACAACTTGGATTTTCTCGTCAACATTCACAGGAATCTGCGGATTCAATAAACTAACACTTAATAAGTAATAATAAAGAGTATCAAATTCCAGATCCAATTGAAATATTGGATATAAGCACAACACTCCACAACAATACGATATTAACAAAATTGACGCCAATAAATGGGTGACAAACTAATAATTTTGCAAAAACAAAAGCCGAAACAGCTCGACTATTACAAAACCGAAACCAACAAACATAAAAAAATAATGTCAAGATCTGCTCGTATCCATAAAAAAAAACATATATACTATAAGTATAGAATTTTAGATCCAATTGAATATAGACAGAAAGCTCCACAACAGGTTCAATATTTACAAGGACGACACCAAGAACTGGACAAAACTAACGAATCCAAGAGAATCGGAATGTCACTGAAAGAAAGCTGAACAAGTCGATTCTTACAAAAAACGAACCAGTAACCATAGAAAATTTCAACATCCTCTGATGTCGGTTAAAATAAAAAAAAAAGGCATTGTAGAAATTAACAGTACCAAGTTTCAGATCGCGCCATGACAATTCGATATTTACAGGAAAAGTACGAAGGTATAGACCGCGAAGCAAACTAAACGTTCTTCAAACTTGATTAAAAAAACGAAAGAAAGCTGGACAACTTGATTATTGCAAAAACATTCCAATCTTTAAAGATCTACTCAAATCAACAAAAGAAGAAACAACATTGCGAATAAATAAGTAAATAATCGAACCTCGCAACAGTGACGCTCCAAGGAGTGACGACGTGATCCTCGGTGGCGCGATCCTCGCCGTAGGGACGATCGCCGACTTCTGATCCACAACCTCATCGATCACGTGATCCATCACGAGCGCCGCCGCCTTGACCTTCTCCCTCTCTCCTCTACCTCCGCTACAAACCGTCACCGACACGCTCCGGAACGCCGGATCCCGATACGAACTCACCCTCAGATCCTCGCCCCTCTGCGATCAAAAGCAGAGGCTTTAGGCCTCCCTTTTATAACGAAATAAAGAGGAACTATTATTGTTATTATTATTATTATTATTCCTTAATAAGGTGAATGGAATGACTCATCAGAGTCACGTGGCTAGTATATAAATAGCGGGAAAAGGAGGGGGTGGAATGAAAATAAAAAAGTTCACCAGAAAGGAGGCGCTGCTACGGCTAAGATTGAGGGAGAACATGGCTGGAATTTTAGAGCGAGGTCCGCGTCCGAAGGAGAAGGGAAGAGAGAGAAAGCGGAGGAGAGACGACGAGAAAGAGTCTCTTGGAGACGCGACCCCGCTATTTGTAGAGCGAGCTCGATTGAACTGGCAATATTAAATAGGTGGAAAATCACTGCACGGCCCCTACCCCTGCAATTTATTTCATTTTTACAGTGCCAGTTTGCAAAAGTTAAAAGTCATTTGGGCATTTGAGGTTGGCACCCTTACATGTTTCACCCTTTTTAATTGGTCCATCCGATCAAAATCATTAATGCTGTCGTTTGTGCCTAGTTAACGATCCACCCAATAACATACACTATCAATTTTACCCACAGCTTCAAAATTATTAAAGAATTAAGGACAGAACTAAAAACCAAAATAATTTAAATTAAGGGGTTGAAAGTAACGTTTTCATGTGCGAGGCACAGACAAGCGGTGTGGTGTCCTTACAAACGTTGGATCGCGACCGTTAGATGATAGGGAGTAGTTTAGTTAAATTGAGAATGCAGGTACAGGGGAACGGTGAAAAAGGTCGCTAGTGTCAGTGCGTCACGATATTGTGAATCCAGACCTTGTACGCGGCGAATCTTCTGCTTTTGGTTTCCGCGCGCGTGCGCTTTTTTCATTATTTTATAATTTCTTTCTTGTTTATAGCATAATAATTGGTTTATTTAATTAGCTACTTAATGCCTTTAACTGTCTTGACGGTGTTCTATTAATTTTGTGAAAGTTGTGTGAATTCCTTTTGTTGACAAACAACCCTACCAACCCTCCAGAACGCGTGCTAGAATTTCTTCTAGACGTGATATAACTTAAAACATGGTTCTATTTGCTTGAAGTTTTGGTAAAAATGTGGATCTTGATAAGTTTGCTAAATAATTGTTGTAAGAAATCCACTCTCACAAGAGATTACATTGTGTTTAATTTTATAGAAAGTAAGTTCGAATTTGGGGTTTTGGGGGTATGTTGTACCGTGCATATGGTTTTCTTTATAATGTCTTGTAGAATACGTGTTTGGAATATTAAAAGAATATTTTCTATTGAAGTTGGAACACCAACCCCCCCCCCCACCCCACCCCACCCCACCCCCCCCACACACACACAATTGAGCATCCTCTCCTCATCCTAATATTTCCTAATGAAGAATTGTGAAGAGTTGGGAGGGGAGCTCACAAGGATGGGTGGGAAAATGAAAGATCGTGATGAAAACAAAAGGGTAGGATCTCCTTATTAGGAGCTTTTCATTAGGAGAGGATCCGGATCCCTTCCTTTTACTGTGAAGTGGATCACTTGTGTACAAGAATATGCAGATATTATTTCACTTCTGTGTAGACATGTATATGGGTATTCAGTATTGCGCTAAAATTAAAGATTACACTTGAATTGTGGATTATTTTGCTTGGTGGCAAAGTGATAGAAATGTACTTCTTCGAATTGCATCTTTGATTCTTTATATAATTTCGCGTAGTTGGATAGAATTAGGGGTCTATCATGACTAAGAGATGTAGTTTCATCATGATGAAGAGTATGTATCACATTCGAATAGGAAGTTAGGCTAGGAATATTGATTTTTATTTCTCTATATATAGTCTTCTATTGCTACGGGTAAACCAAGAAGAAGAGAGGAGGGCCGACCCTACCTTAAGGCAATTAAGACATCTGCCTTAGGCTTCATCTTGGGTAAGGCCCACCCACCCTCATATTGGAGTGTTACAATGTATATACTCATTGTTTGCTTCTCTATTAAACGATGAAATTTTTTAGAGGATAAGGGATGCAAGTTATCCGTTAAATCTTTATCTCAAACTAGATGGGAAAGTCGGATTGAAAGTGTTAAAGCAATAAAATTTCAAGCTCCAAATATAAGAGATGCTTTGATTCAATTAGCAGAAATTAGTGAAGATCCAAAGATAAAAAGTGAAGCTAATAGCTTTGCAACTTATGAGATTGAAAATTTTGAATTCTTATTAGCTATGAATATTTGGTATGACATACTGTTTGTTGTTAATTCAGTTAGTAAAATCTTACAATCTAAAGATATGCATATTGATATTGTCAAAGATCAATTAAAAGATCTTATTGTATATTTAGAAAATTATAGACAAAATGGTTTTATGTCTGCTTTGAATTCAACTAAAGAACTTACTAATGAAAATGAACATACAACCTATATTTCGTGAAAAAACGTAAAATTCATAGAAAAAAATAATTTGATGAAAATATTGGTAATGAAACAATATTTAACGTTGAATTCATAGAAAAAAATAATTTGATGAAAATATTGGTAATGAAACAATATTTAACGTTGAAGAATCTTTTCGTATTGAATATTTCTTATACATATATTTAACGTTGAAGAATCTTTTCGTATTGAATATTTCTTATACATAGTTGATAAATCGCTTGGCTCAATTAAAAGTAGGTTTGAACAATTTAAAATGTATGATTTTTTTTTGGTTTTTTGTTTGATTTGAAAAAATTAAAAGCTTTATATGATATTGAATTGAAAGAATATTGTCTTAATCTCGAAAATGCATTAAAACATGATGAACATTTAGATATTAATGGACTTGATTTGTTTTCAGAATTGAGAGTGCTTAGGAAAATTTTAAAAGTAAAGATTAATAGTCCAATTGAAGTGTTGAACTATATAAAGTGATTAGATTCTTTTCCAAATACTTGTATTGCTTATCGATCGTGTACTATTGACTATACCCATAACAGTTGCTTCCACTGAAAGAAGTTTTTTAAAATTAAAATTACTAAAATCTTATTTATGATCGACCATGTTACAAGATAGATTGAATTGTTTAGCAATATTATCTATTGAAAATAATATGTTAGAAAATATTGAATATAAATCTTTAATTAGTAATTTTGCAGCTTAAAAGGTACGAAGAATGAGATAAAATCTATTATGAGTTGTATCATTTAGGTCTCATCTAATATTTTGTCTTGGGTCCCAAAATTCCTAGGTACGGCCCTGGAAGAGAGACATTACTAATGTGTAATGTCAATGATTTCTTTACAAAACCAGTGCAACGGACCCTTCAAGGATGAAAAATAGCAAGAAGAAAAGGCATGAGCTGCCATTAACCATGCCCAATAAATTAGAAATCCCTTTAATAAACACAAGCTAAGGACATAAGTTACTTAAGAAATTAGGGAGAATAGTTAAGACTTTCTCTATCAGGAAATGAACACAGACAAGCCATCAAATGTTTCAAACTATGACCTTGACTAGTCTCAATCCGTGAAATCAAATTTGGGAAGAAATGACCAACTCCCAAATTGGCCATATTTTTAAATTTATTACAGAACTGAATACGTAAGTAGTATTCATGAGAAATGACATATTTCATTTGAATGGTTTTTGGAAATCAGTTACGTTGATAAATCAAGGTGCGAAAAATAGCGACAAAACGTGCATGCACTTGCCAGTAGTCTTGCCTCAAAAAGGAATCTTTTAGTAAAAACAGTATGAAGCGAGAAGAAACCTAACGCCAGCTGTCAGGAAACAGTTTAGTATTCGGTCTATCATGCAATGAACACATATAAGCCATCAATCAAAGCTTTCGAGCTAGCCCAAAATAAAGAAAGAAAGAAAGAAATAAATAAACAATAAAATAATATAATACATGAAAATAAAAAAAAAAATAAAAAAATAAAAAAAATAAAAAAAGTCCCTTCTAGCGCTTAATATTAGGAATTTCACGTGTGAGTATATTTCATCGTAGTATAAGAAATATAATCAACTTAAATAGAAAGTTAATGCAAACAAATAATAAATTCAGGAAAAAGTAAGGTATGTTTCTGACTAAAATAGTCTACAAGAATTTTGTGAATAGAATGAAATGGAAGAGGTGATTAACGAAGCTGACTTCAAAAATTTGCAACAAAGTCCTTATTGTCATTTTATTTTGGTGTAGAGTCCACATTAGTGAAAGTACCCAAGAGAGGGGAATGGTGAATAGGGTAATTGCTAATCTAGTCCGATATTGATGTCAAATTAAAACTTTATAATGCAATATCCTAGAAAGAGATAAACAATATAACAATAAGCGATACAAAAATAAGCACAAGGAAAAATACGTCAAAACCAAACGCAAACACACAATATGATCACGGAGTTAAGTCTAACACTCAACCTATGTCTCCGCTCCTCACCTCGAGGAGATCTCCACTATCACAAAATAACTACACAATCGGTTTTTAAAGCTCACCAAAAACTTTTACAATTTACACATTGTCAATCACACAAGACACTCCTTTAAGTGTTGGCCTACCCGTGTCACCTTCCTCAAGTGTTTTAAATTACTACATCTCCCTAGGCTTTATAACCAACCCACTCATCTTGGAATTGACACCGGTCTCTCCCTGACGGGGCATAAATGTATACTTCTAGAGTTGCAAGTGCACAACACTTCAAGTTATAGTATAAAAAGTTATCGATCCCACGAGGAAAGTGTTTGTAGGAGAATATAAAAATCGATTCTTATGTTATGTGTGTGACAATTAGGAGTGATGAATGTGATTATGGAGAGATAGAGAGAGTGAGAGTGATTGTGTGTAAATAAGCACAAAATAAGTTTGAGAGTAG